TTATGCCTAACAATCGGATGTAAAAATAGTGAAACTTTAAAGAGCTCTCGTAGATTGATAAAACCGCCTCTAGGTGCTGTTGAGGACAAAATAAACAGCTTATTGAGCAATATCCAAAACAGCACTTTTTATAGTGATTAAAACAGAAAGTCCTGGAACAAGTTGAATCTCATGGCATATAGGACTTCTACCTTAAGTCACCGAACTATTCCGAAAATCATCACTGTTAAACTCAGTCGGAAAACGTAAATTACAATCACTGCAAGTGATACAGAAGGCAACACTGATGCTACCACAGCTGTTCTAAAGAGCAGACTAGAGTTTATCAGGCAGAACTCAGATTGGAAAACTCAATGAACACTGTACTGGAGTGGTGAAGGACTCTACTCCATCTTCTTCGTACCTCTGGCCGACCATGCCACCATGAGGTTGCGTGCAAACAACAACGAGAAAGAATGCACTTGCATGGCCAGCATGATGAAAGCGTACCACAGGAGAGCGTACGGGTAACCCTGGTAACATAAAATATTTGTCACGTGTGTTATGAAAGTGATGCTTAGGAAACCTACCTTGTACAGACAGTAGTCACGATTATTTGACTTTTTTGTATGGTTACAAGAGCTAAAATATTCATCTATGAATGACTGCCCAAATAATATAGGCCTAACAGGTGGTTATAGATAACTTTTTTTACAAACGATTAAAACTCATGAGAAAAAGCAAACTTCAGGTGTCTATATTCTTGACCATACCATACCCTACTGACTTGCTCTTTGTTTTCACACACGATAAAATGGGGTTTATGACTTGTGACTAAACTTTTTTCACACTTGTTTAAATAACGCTTTTCACCTTTTACTTGACAAATTTTCCAGCTATCAGTTGATTTTAATTACACTACAGTAATCGAGACTCTACTGGAATGAATAAATTCAACTGACACATGAATTTATCTTTTACTAGGTACTAAATTACTTACCTGTACAGTTTTAATAAACTCAATAAATTAGCCTAGTCATTTTTACAAATCTCTATTGAACTAAGTTTCATACAAATAGGCCTAATGTGTAATATCATCCAAAAATAATAGACTGGGCACAATGTTTCTTCAATTTTAATGTTTGATTCTTTGTGTGTTTTAACAATTAATGAGCTTGACTTTATTAGAACCAATATCTTGATTCAAAATCTTTATAAGAACTATCCTATATTGCAGTCCCATTACCTACGTCTTTCTGCAACATATTTACTTATCATTATTTATTGCAACTATCTTCTGCATTTCTCAATCAATCACCTAGTCTGAATTTATAGATAAAGCACACACCTGCCATAGTTGGATATCCTCAGTGTCTCCGGTGGTAATATATTGCCAGGCCTCGGAGAAGTAGTAGATGGCAGCGTAAAGGATGGGTCCGAAACCAAACACACAGATTCCAATCATGTATCTCTTCATGGCTACGATCCTGTTCTTTCTAACTGCCGCCAGACCCAGAAACGACAGGAGCAAGCTTATACACCAAATGTATTCCCATAGTAGTGGCTATGGAAGAAGAAGACAATATTAGTCTATACATTTTTAGAGGACAATTAGTTTACTACATTGTACTAATGTAGATTTATTTGTACTATGTAGATTTAGTAACAGTTCTAAACCATGATTAACTGAATGAATATAGCAGTTGATTCTAAGTTCAAACCTTCTTTGAAAATATGTTGAAATAAGATAATGTGCAAATCAAAACAACTATGATTTAGCCTAGTTTCACCAATTACAAGATTTTTTTTTATTCCGAAGAGAAAGTATTTATTTTTGATGACAGCTGATATTTAAGAAAATTATTATTTTCCAAGATCAAATTTGAGTGTTTTATTGTGATTTATTTTTTAGTTTAACTTCTCACCATCACCGCAACAACATCAACAATGGTTGGTGATTGGATTGTGGGAAATTTGTGTCAGCTGTTTTCATTGATGAACAATCTTTTGCTACAAACAGAAATATGAAATTTGAACTGGTTAGGCACGCCGTAACATGCCACTTAAGGTTTTCTTAATTAAAATGAAATATTTTTCTTACCTTTGGTACTGCCAGTTCTTCTATTTCAAGAATGAAAATATCAAGTCTATCGAGAATGTCCGCAGACAGTTTGGCGAGCATCGCAAAAAATAATAGGTAATGGAAGAAAATGCAGTATTTTAACCGAGACTTGTTTTGAGCACTGAAACAAAATCATTAATAGAGTTAGGTATCTGCCATGGATGAATAGGACATCAAAAGGGATATATATGATAAGTTAAGCAATGAAGTGAGAAGTAACATGCTATAAAAAAAAAATACCCCCGCCGCAGCAAACCTGCATACTAAGCGAATTTCCATTTGACTGATTGGATTTACACTGAAATGTCTACTTAAAAATATAACATTTATTCTTGATTTAAATAAAATTAGTTTAACAAGTACTTAGGTTTGCTGAATCAGCGAGGATAAAACTGTTTTTTTTTTTTTTTTTTTTTTTTTGTAAAATGTGAATAGTTAGTAAGAAATAAAAACATTTTCCAAATTTGATCAAAATATGTTCACAAACAAGCAAACTACAACAGTTTACTATTTCTCCATAAGAATAACATGGGAATTTTAAATTTACAATTTTTTGGAATTTTCTCCGTAACTATTAGGCGCATAATAACGCTTCAATATACCAAATTATTTGTTTTTTGAAGCTCTACAAAATGGTTTGGAAAGAAATTGCAAAATTTTATGTTTTTTGGGTCAAAAATGGGAAAAACCTATTTTTATCCCATAAAACCCCCCGTAAACCCCAGTTCCCATGGTCCGATCATGCTGGATCGCAAACTCGTTCGAATAAACGTACGTTTACACGTTTGTACCAAATTTCATCAAAATCGGATCATTTTTGCTTGAGTTATCGTGCTGACGGACACACACATATATATATATATATATATATGAATTTGAACGGATGGTGTTTTTGGCCTCTAGGGACCTCAAAACGAAAAAAAAAAAACGGTCCCGCGTCCAGGTCTTACCATGAGTACTACGGTAATAGCTTATTCCCTATATGGGAAATTCGCTAAAAAAAAAAAACATGCTGTTATGAATGACTACCGCCAGTTTATCTCAGGAAGACCAAATTAATTTTGTGATTGGTAGGCCTATGGATTAACTTATAGCTTTTTAAAGTCAAATCAAGTAGATAGGGACCTACCGTAATCAAGGCAGGTAAATTCTGTCGAAATGAGTCAATATCGCCAAGACACTAGTGTCGGGTCGGGAATTCACAGCCCAGATCCTAGCTCTAATAGTGAAGATCTTTCAAAATGCTGATCATCAGGGATTTCATCACATCAATATTTAACAAGTTTACCACCTCCAAGAATTAATCGGTCAGCTGGCAGAAACCTCTGAATGTTGTTTCACGGTCACACTCACTTGCAAATCAAATGCTTCGCTTTTCTACTTAAGTATGTAGGCCTACTAACTTAATCATTGATTCAGATTTATATTGTTTGTAAACCACAAATAGCTTTAAAGAACTATAGCTTAAAAACCTTGCCTAGTTAGAAAACCATAAAGTTAAAGAATTTTTTTATTTAAAAGAGGAATGTAACTTAATTTAAGTAGAAACCGAGTGTTGTGTGCTGTTTTGTTTCTCTGCGTGGAGAGTTTTAAGAACTGAACTTAGTTTCCAATGTCACAAGTGGAAAATGTTCAAAAAATGTAGGCTACGCTAGGTTTTTAATTTACTGATTTATGTAGGGTTGATCATGAAAGTTATTAAGTTGGTAGCATAACTTATGTTAGCTAAGGCTTAACTTATAAGTAGGACTACCTACATATCAATGGTTGAGTTACATGCCTAATTTACATCTAAGATTCAATTTCACAGTTTATTCTAAATGATGTAGACCTTAGGTAGCCTCTTTGATAGTGAGTTAGGTGGCCAACAAATTAAGATAACTTGAGATCTGATTTCCCAAATAAGGTACCGTAACTTAAACATTTAATTTTTTCCTGGACCATCAATTTTTGAATGAGTTTGGGTTGAACTAGATCCATTATAAAAACTAGGGTTAGTTTAAGAACAGTCTGTAAAAAATAAACAAAACCTTGAGGGGTAATTTAAAATAACCTAACATGCTGGCCTAGATGGAAAAATAACCTCGCTTTTTAAGTATTTACCTGATTTGATATTGTGCTGCTACCCTTTGTCTGTGAGCAAAATCAGTGCCGTCAGTTCCTGCGGCCATAGGGCCACCTTTTGAAGCCATTTTACTGTTTCAATAATACAATTTTCTAAAATTCTTGAAACCAATATTGAAATCTTCAGCCACCCATCAGGTTAGAAAATAGAAATCAAATCACTGAAATCAGGAAGGTTGGCAAGCCTGTTGGCTGGTTGAGTTGAGTTGAGATGAGGTGCGTTGTTGGAAGGTTGGCACTTGGCATGAGTCGAGTTGGCAAGTGCTGCTCCCAAGGGAGGGAACGTGGAAGTATTTGACGAAGCGGAGGAGGACACTTCAAACAACTTTAGTCAGCTGAGCGTCTAAAAATGGAATCATCCAATGATTTAGTTGACTTTTTCTGAAATAAATTACTTGTATTGCAAACTATAAACTTTTAAATATCACTCTTTTCCATTGAATTTTAATTTTTTAAAAGCTAGAATATTAGATTAGTTGTAGTATAATGGTATTTGTACATTCTTGACAAAGCAGTTCTACACTTGTAAACGATCACTTTTAATTCGGTTATACCAAAACATAGTCCCTTGAAATTTGGCATGTTTAAATGTAATAAATTGACATAAAATCTAAAATACTATTAAAACCATCTTGCCCAAACATTTAAACCGGTATTATTTACATTGAGAAGCTGCAGAAACGTTGAATACTATAAATTGTGTCTTTTGTTATTGTCGCGTATGAATACTATCTAACCTCTCTGCCCTAACCTCCTTTCGCGCTTGCATCCATGATGTAGAAATGTGAAATGCTTATGTGATTGTGTAAAAATGTGTCCGCTTTTGTGTCAGTTTGCGTTTAAATTCAATAGTTCGTAATTTTTATCGTGATTGGAGTCGAGTGATGAGTGCGTCATGGTGTCCAGTGAAGTGTTTTACAATTATTATAGTTCCAAAATAAGCATTCTTTGGATGTTGCAGTGGCGGGGTGTTGGCAGCAATCGAGGCTGTGCCTAACATGGCTGCAACGCAATCTGAACCCCAGCAAAATGAGGTGAATCGGGAAAATGTGCAGCAAGAACAGTGTGTAACTGAAAACTCTGGATTACAAAATGGAACAGATAGAAATAGTGGTCGTAGCTTAGTTAGATTTGATGGTGCTAATCCTAAAGTTAAATCGTCAGGACAAAATACAGTTTCTGCCGAAATGAGTCAATATCGCCAAGACACTAGTGTCGGGTCGGGAATTCACAACCCAGATCCTAGTTCTAATAGTGAGGATCTTTCAAAAGCTAACCATATTGAAAATAAACAATTTTCTCATGTTGAACAAAGTGATCCCAACTTTGTGAAAGGTTCCCCTGATAATGGGAACCAAAGTATGCCTGGATCTTATGGATTGCCATTTCCCCAAAGGAGTGGTTATCATATTGAACATTCTAGTGGGAGTCCTTTGCAACCTGGAGGAGAAAATAGTATTCATCAGCAAAATTTTGGGCCATTTAATCCTCAAATGAGACATGCATATGCTACCTCTAAACCAATTCCGGGGCCGGGGACACCTGTACCTCAAAGACCTGTGAGTACAAGCCCAAACTTGGGATCTCCAGGTAATTATTCTCCTCATCTACAACAACAACAACGATTTTTATCTGGGCAGAGCATATCTCAGCCCACAGGACCTACTCCAACCTTGAATCAACTTCTCCAGTCCTCCAACCCTGTGCATCGATATCAGAACAGTTATGTAGACTATAGTATGGGGAAACAAGGAGGTGAACAGAACCAAGGAAACATGCCGTATAATCAAGCGTGGCCGCCTAGACCAATGGGTCCGTATGGAGCTCAAGCAGGCCTCCCGGGATACCGGCCACAACCTCCAATGGTGAGTTAATCATTACTTATGTTTATGCCATTTTTTATGTAGGCCTAAGTTAGCCTTTTAACTTAACATACCTTAGGCTATAACTTGAGCTACTAAGTTAAGTTAGCCTATGCAGTAGCCTACCTAACTTACTGTAAACTTATTGAGTACAGTCCCTCAAAACTTAGGCCTGAGTTAGCTTATTTTTCAAAGGCTATTCATTGAATGAAAAATGTTAGGTCTAGGGCCTACTTAAGTAGGCCTACATATTATTATTATCAACTTGGTGTGTTACGTAACTTTAATATCGTATCGGATAGGCTTAAAGTCTTAGTTTTCACACGTTTTAGTATTATCGGATCGATACCGTTATTTAAATATTGAAAGAACATTTTAAATGAGTCAATAGTGTAACGTATGTACTAGGCTAGGTCTGTTTTCAAGAAAACTCTCCCAAACTCAGCTGGTAAGTTAGTTAGCGAAGTTTTAAGTGCAGGCTAGTTTTGCTTCGTAACTTAAGGGGTGTCGTCCCGCCTATCTATCCTATCCCATGTCAATTTCTTTAAAACTTAAGGTAAACTTACCTGCATTTTTTTTTAAGTTCGGACCTGGAAGGTCCGGGAAACAGACGTTTAAGTTAACTTGTAGGGTCAGGGAAAGTTTTGAAAAAAAGCCGCAAGTCAGGGAAGAACTTAAAAAATAATGTTAAGTTAGGCTTAGTTAAGTCTGGGAAATTTACAAAAAAACTTAGATAGGCTAGGCCTACCTAGATAGATTTCTAAACTTTTTGGATAGGTCTAGGCCTACCGTAAGTTACCTAAGTTATATTGAAATGATATTAGAGCCTAAGTTTAGTTGCTGAAAAGATAAGTTCTGAAAAAACTGTGGTGTGTATGTATGTAATTTTTAATTAAGCTTAGGTACCATTGTTTTTGTTTTATTTTTAGTGCTGTCTAAGTAGCCTAACTTATTTAGAATTTGATTTCTTATTTGGTATTGTATTAATTAATATCCCCGCGACAGCAACCCTCAGATTAAGCAAATTTCCATTTACCTGGCTGGATTTCTAAAAAAATCCTTTAAAATTATTTCCTATTCAAATAAGGTTAATTTTAAAAAGTTCATGGGTTTGTTGCTACAAAAAATATAATAAGGAGTGGTTTTTATTAAAATCTTCAATATGAAATAATGAAATTTGTCAAAATATAAAAAGTAGCTACAGTACTTAAATTGGTTGCCGGTCTAGATGTCTTATCATGAGACCTCTGGTAATAGCTTGTCCCCTACAGACTCCCTCTTATCCGGTATCCTCGGGACCGTAGCCAGTCTGGATAACAAATTTTCTGGTTAAACCGACGTCCCCAAAAGCTTGTTAAAATGGACCGTTTACTTGACTGCATAGGCCTACTGTATTTGACTTAAATTTAGGAGAGCATTGTATTTAGACATGTGATCACTGGTCCCAAGTCTTTCCCACAAGAACAGTTGTTTTAGTACTAGCCACTTCTTGCCGATCTAAGTTAGTTTGGTTAAACCGATATGCTGATAAAAATTGTCCGATTAAAGAGATGTCATTTCCGCTGAGTGTAGTCTGGTTAAAAGGTGTCCGGACAAGAGGGAGTGTACTGTATGGGAAATTCACTGAAATGAGGTGTTTAGCAGCTATGGGGATGGTGGAGGCAGTATTAAATAAAAACAAGATGTTTTTTAAGTGATAAATACTTAACTTATAAATACCATAGGCCTACCTAAATATTAAGAAAACTCAATGTACCTGTACCGGTACCTAAAATATGCCGTGGTCAGGGAAAGTAGACCATTCCTATAGGCCTATATCGGAATATTATTAATGGAAAAAGTGCAGAAAGACTTACAGAAGAACATTATCTTTTATTGTTTGGGATATAAAAAAATGTAAAATAAATTAATATAACTTTAATCAATAAAATTTAAAAAGCTACTGATTAAAAAATATAGGCCTATAAAAGATTAGATATCGTAGGTCTACCTGATTAGTATTTTAAAAAGTTACCAGCTGTAATTACTCATACCGGTAGGCCTACTGTACTCTTTTCAATAGCCTAACATCAAAGTTCGATTCCTAACTCTAATACTGTCCTTTTTTTGAAAAATATTGAAGAAATTAACATGGAATAGATAGGAGGGACGACCTCCCTTATTAAGCTACAGAACCGTCACAAGGCTAATAGCCTAGTTGTATCAAGAAATGTTAAAAATGTTAACGATTAGCCCAGTATTTGGTATGATTTAGGGAAAGGGAATATTGTTGTGATAATTTACCTAGGCTATATATACTACCTAGGCCTATCTTAATTAACATGGGCGCTGACTAGACTTCATAGCGATATTTTCCTTATTGAAAATAAAATAACGTAGGTAGGCTACAGTAGAACCTCGATAACAAGTCACCCTTGATAACACGGGGCATTTTCATATCCCCTTGAAATTATTTTACCCCTAATCACATGTTATTGCAAGAGATCCAATGATTCCAATTCTCGGTAGCCTATCGTGTTGTACGTACGATACAGTAAGAATAAATCTAAGATTTTGTATGGTAGATTGTGGTAGGCTACCTAGCTTCATAAAGTAAAGTGTTACTACACATTTTAATTTGGATTCCATTTTTAATTAAAATTAATATTGTTTGTTAACTATATTTTTATATCCCCAGAGCAGGTTGCAACAAAGATGCTACACAATAGATGGCATGTTAGTTGCCCTTGCCCAGGCTGCAGATTGTTTACTCGGGGAAGATTGGCGAACAATAATCCAATGTTCAGTACGAAATTGTGCAATCAAATTATTATATTGTTCGTAGACCAACCGTCTAATAAACCCACTATAAACTAAGCGAGCTACAGCCGTGGCCAAGATCGGAGAAGCGGGTTGACACTCAATCGTACAGCTGAACAGCTAAGAGCATTTAACTTTAACGAGTTAACTAGAACAATTTTGGTGCTCTTTGCCCATTGGTAATACAAATATAAACAAATACAAACATTGCAGAGGCTTTAAGGTTGGTGTCAGTATATTATTTATGTGTTCAGTTAGCGTTTAGCAGTTTTGTGTAGGCTGTGTTTTTACTTAATTAATATTAAAAATCGGTGAAAGTAAAATTAAATGACACAGCCTAAAATAATAGACTTAGTTTGCAGTTTAGTTCCATTGAAACTCTCACTTACACCCTCATTGTGTCACATATTTTCCGTTTTCATCATCTTTTTGTTTTAGCGAATTTCTCATATAGGGAATAAGCTATTACCGTAGTACTCATGGTAAGACCTGGACCCGGGACCGATTTTTTTTTCCGTTTTGTGGTCCCTAGAGGCCAAAAACACCATCCGTTCAAATTCATATATATATATGTGTCCGTTAGCGCGATAACTCGAGCAAAAATGATCCGATTTTGATTAAATTTGGTACAAACGTGTAAACCTACGTTTATTCGAACGAGTTCGCGAACCAGCATGATCGGACCATGGGAACGGGGGGTTATGGGGTAAAAATGGGGTTTTTCCCATTTTTGACCCAAAAAACATCAAATTTTGCAATTTCTTTCCAAACTATTTTGTAGAGCTTAAAAAAACAAATAATTTAGTATATTGAAGCGTTATAATGCGCCTTATGGTTACGGAGAAAATTCCAAAAAATTGCAAATTTAAAATTCCCATGTTATTCTTATGGAGAATAAGTAAACTGTTGAAGTTTGCTTGTTTATTAACATATTTTGCCCAAATTTGGAACATGTTTTTATTTCTTAGTAACAATTAACATTTTACATAAAAAAAACACTTTTACCCTCCCTGTTGCAGCAAACCTAAGTATGTGTTAAACTGATTCTATTTAAATAGGGATAAATGTGATATTTTTAAGGAGACATTTTAGTGTAAATCCAATCAGGCAAATGGAAATTCGCTTAGTCTGCAGGTTTGCTGCGGCGGGGGTATTTATCTTTGTAGCATTTAAACAAAGGATAGGCCTAGGCTTTGTGTTGATTGTGATAATTAGGTTTGTTTGGTTCTAATGATACTGGATTGCGTAGGCCTACACAAATTGTTATTCATGAACAAGTTAATCCTATTGTTAAATAATATGTCATTTTTTTTTATTTGCCAAAGATAATTTCATGAAAGATAATTGATTAGCCTAAAGGCTACTAACATTGGTGTAGAAATTAGGCTACTATAAAAAATTTTCATAGTCCATTGGCAATAGTATCAAAATATTTATAATAGCCTAGGCCTATAGACGAAATATGAGAAAAATTGAATAAATTGAGTTTCTATTTGGAAAAGTTATGATTAAAGAATGGCAGAGAATTTGGTTTTTTAACAATGGAAAATAAAAAAAATTACCCCATACCCCCTGGCCCCTCCGTATATCACGGGCCTCGGTTGCACCTTCCCTGTTGAAACCCCCCTTTAAAGATCTTGCCCCACCAATTATTTTTATAAGTCGGTGTCCATGTATCAAACAAAGAGTGTTGTCGATTGAATGTTTTTATGTTAGGCTCTGCAGTGATATAGTCTACAGTATACTAGTTAGGCGTAGCCTAACTTCTAGGAATTATAAGTAAGGTATTGGTTTTTTGCCTAATATTTCTTTACTAAACTATTTGTTCTGTTCTGCAGTAGGCTATATGAACATTGTTGACCAAAAGCCATTTAGCCTACATTTTAGACCCACTGTGTTTTGTTTCACTTTTAAAAATTTTCCTACGTAGGCCTACAACCATCAGTTAAATTCAAGTCAACTTAAAAGCTTATCCCAGTTATAATAAACCTCAGGGGTATAACTAGCTTAACTACTTGGTTTTTGTGGTTAACTAAGTGTCGCATCAGCGAGAGGATGATAAGTTCGAAGTCAGCATGGAGAAGCAGCGTGGTGGTAGAAGGCCGTAAAGGCAGATAGCCCATAGAGCCCCAGTGTTATGGTTATTTCCCTTCATACAGATACAACGGCTCCCTTGATACCTTTTTATGGTGTCTACTTTCTTG